GGCCCCACACCCGGACCAGACTATCCCCAGCAAAAGCTCCCCCAGGAGCCCCGCGCAGGCCACCCAAACCAGAGGGGCCCCCCCCTTAACTTGGGGGAGCCACCATACACCCCTCCCTCCAACCTTCTCTGGGGAGAGCATTATCAGAAGGTGGGGCCCTCCAGTAATGACCCCCTCCCCAAAAACCTACATGTGTGGCAGTGTGATGGAGCAGGCAGAGGGAGGAATCCGGGGATGGGGAGCAAAGGACAGCTCCCCCGCTGACTCCAACGGGGACCCCCGTTCCACGAGAGTCACCCCGGAGAGGGGGGACCCCACCAGTCGCAACACCATAGCCCAGGGGCCAGGGACCGGCGGCAGGCGCCGAAATGGGGGGGAGACAACTCCAGCCAGCCCGCACATACAATGTAGAACCCCCACCCTGGACGAAGCCCCCACCAGGGGACGGCACGGACCAGGACCGAGACAGGGAGCCAGACTCGAAGCCCTTCTTTAATTATTGCAGCTGCGTCTCTGGAGGAGGTACTGATGTCCACTGCAGGTCTGGCAGAGCGTCCACCTGACGCCATGATGTCTCCTTCAAACATCGAGTTTTTAATCCACTGTAAACACATGTTTAAATACAACGAAGCTACTTATTTCAGAATCATACAGCTGTTTTAAGGAAAACATGGATTTTGGGAACAAAATGCTCCAGGATTTGGATTTTATTAAAGGTCAAATATCAGTTAATAAGTTCAATCCAGACTAGTTCAGGTGGTTGGCGTACTACCTCAGTAAAGTTACCTTTATAATACTCTAACTTGATAAGCACTTTTTTTTTTNTAGAAATAAAATGAATAGAAATTGAATTAAGTCCTCCACCAACCGCCCTCTCAGAACCAGCTCCATTTGGTTCTCCATTTCAAACAGCCCCCAGGAGGAGAGCAGAGAACCGTATTCTGTTTCAGTGGGAAAAGTTTCAGCAGAGCATCGATCCCAGAATGATGTTTGATCCAATCTGCACATCAGAACATTTGGTTCCAAACAAAGTCTGGTTCTAAAGTCAGTTTGACTTCCTCCCGGTCCTGATAGTTGGGTTCTAAACATGGGAACAGAATTTTCTTACCATAGCAGAGCGGCAGTAGCAGAACCAGCAGCAGACAGGCCTTCATGTTTCTGGTTCTTTGGGTCTAAAATGTTCTGGAAAGAAAAACAACTGATTTGAACAAACGAAGCTGGACTTTTATCCTCTGCTGATAAGGATCCATAAACAAACTGTCCTGAACTCATGAACTCCGGGTCAGAAACACCCTCACAGGCTGGGTTAGATCTGCTGACTCAGGCCTAAGTCAGGGTTCAATTCCCAGGTTCTACCGAGTCATGGTTCAGTCCTGAGGTTCTAGTGAGTCATGGATCAGTTATGAGGTTCTGTTGAGTCACGGTTCCGTTCTGAGAACACACAATTGTGCCATGTTTAATGTGGTATATACTTTACTAAGTATTGTTATTACTGTTTCTTTTGAGGTAGCCCTAAACTAAATAAAAAAAAAATAATAAAACTAGCTTGTTCTTTTTCCTCTTCCTCTTATTGTCTGTAATCTGGGGTCTGTTTAACAAAGAAGGTTCAATGGAAAACTCCAAGTTTTCTAAACCTGAAATCAGGGAAACTGACTTTTCTGTTTCACAAAGAGAGCTCCCTCAAGCTGTTTCTGTTGCCATGGTAACATCCCCCCAGAGCTAACCTGGTCAGCAGCAGGTTTCCTTCAGTAAACTCAGATTCTCCTCTGTCTCCTTACAACCAATCACGCTGTTTTAGTTCCTGATTTAGTCCGATTTGTCGTAGTTTTGGCCGTGAAAAAATAACTAGGTCCTTTAGACACATTAGGTTTTAAAAACAAACATTTCATGTCCGTTTGACGAGGATCTTATTAAAAAATGATCGGTATTAATTCACAGAGAATTCAATATTTATAGGGAGGGGATTCTACAACTCAGTGACAGGAGTTTTTGGTTTGTTTAATACAATGGTGTCAAAAGTTCACACATGTTTTACTTCAGTAGAAGTTTAGATACTGCAGTTTAAAAACACTCTGGTAAAAGTTGAAGTATCAACTTGACCTCTTTACTCAAGTAAAAGTGAAAACGTATTTGCTCCAAAAACTACTTAAAGTATAAAAGTATAAAGTAACCTTTAATAAAAACATCCAGAAGCAACTATATGAACTGAAAGCTCAATTTTACGACTATTTCTAAAAATTCTTTGAGATAGGGCCAAGGATGAGGGAGGTCTTGTTGGTCTCCGTCTCCCGATACGCTCTCGCCGAAACAGAACCAAAACCCCAGACGCCCCGCCGGGGCACCCGCCTGAGGGCAATGCGCCCCAGGGACCCCAGACCCACCCAGCAGCACAGCTACCTGGCCAGTAGCTCACGTCCGCTACCACGGAACCCCCCCAAGAGCACCACAAGTGGCCGCCGTACGATGCCCCGACGTCCCAAGCCCCGTCCCGATGGGGGTTACAGACCCCGGGGTCACACCCAGCAGGCACCCCACTCCGAGCGCCCACCCCCACACCACTTAGGATGCCCCACACAGCCCCTCACTACACTAAGTGATGGAGCCGATCAAGGGCTCCATCATCCATGGACGGATGATGGATGGATGATGGATGGATGCCAAATCCCTGACAGCGAGCTCAGGCCAAATCTCAGTCCAATTGGAACCAACAGGCAGTTTCAAAGCCTTGGCTTTTGGGCATTTTATCTATTCCATTCTGTAGGTTGCTAATAACAGATTTATGTAAAAAATCTGCAGTCCAGCAACAACAATTTTGACTTTAATTATTGCAGCTGCGTCTCTGGAGGATGTACTGATGTCCGCTGCAGGTCTGGCAGCGCGTCCACCTGACGCCATGATGTCTCCTTCAAACATCGAGTTTTTAATCCACTGTAAACACATGTTTAAATACAACGAAGCTACTTATTTCAGAATCATACAGCTGTTTTAAGGAAAACATGGATTTTGGGAACAAAATGCTCCAGGATTTGGATTTTATTAAAGGTCAAATATCAGTTAATAAGTTCAATCCAGACTAGTTCAGGTGGTTGGCGTACTACCTCAGTAAAGTTACCTTTATAATACTCTAACTTGATAAGCACTTTTTTTTTTATTCAAAATTTTAGTTGTTTTTTTGTACTTTGTTCTGTTAAAAAGGAAAAAATAAATGTAGGACACTTTGTTAAGATTTTTATTTAGAAAGGCTTCCAC